TAAATATGAAAATATTTTAATAAAAATAAATTTTTTTTTTGAGTGCCCGGATATTTTCTTCAGGGGAGTGTACATGAGCCATCTTAAATGAGCGGATGGGCGCCCAGCTCATAGTTTCTTTATCAAATACACAAAATGACTGTTTCAAAACCTCAAGAGTATCAAGAGTGGCTAAAGTATGTGGAATAGAACGAAAAGGAATATCTGCTTTTGGAGAAGATGGAAACACTTATAGAATTACACGTTGCAGGATCAGCCAGCGTACGAGAGGTGAGGAAATCTTGAATGATCCAGCTTCTTTATTAGTCAACAGAGCTCCTTCGGCTGTGAGAAACTGAGCCAAATCAGTGTTATTAACAACTATAGGATCGGAATTTGCCAGGAAATAAGTTCGAAAGAATTTCATAGCACGTCTAGCACTTTCTTTTAAGAGGGCGTCCTTCATCCTTATAAATGTTTGATAATCTAAAATTACATTCCCTATTTTAAGACTCTGAAACGATGCCACGTGCCATATTTTAGGTGGGTTCCGTTTAGTTCTTCAAACAAATGCTTGTAAATTGCGCATCCACACAGACAAATAAGGCCAGAATGCCTGTTGAAAAAAAAAAATAAATAAATAAAAATGGAAAACTTTATTTCACAGTAATTTTAGAAGTCCTACTTTACATACCCGCTTGTTTTTATGTAAGTATCATCTACAATTTCGTCATCTATTTGGATATTTTCCATCTCCTCAAACTCTTTGAAGAGAGTATGCACCTGCTGTTTGCTAGAGAATGGATTAATTAGGGATTTTCTATTGAAGGTGATGATCATAGGTTTTGCGAACTTATATATTGAATGCTTAAGGTTCCAATCGAAACGATTGAGCATATTGCGAAGGTATTGGAATTTCTTATGCTTTGAAAAGTCTCCAAGCAATTGTCACGGATTTCATTAGTCGCATTGTATAACTTATCAAACTCATCTACAAAAATTACGATCTTAGTATCATCCCATAGGTTTTGGCTAAACAAGTTAATAAAGTCATCAGAAGAAATGATGCTTATATAATTTGAAAATTCCGTTCATTGTTGCGAAGAGCATGACCTATCTTATTCCAGAAAATGGGTTTACCTTAATATGCTCAAAAGTTATGCTATTTGAATGAGCAATAAGTATGTAATCAGTAGGAAAACCATACAATTGTTAAAGAAACTTACTAGAAACTAAGATATTTTTCGTCAAATAACTGTTGCATAAACCAACATGCTCGCGTTGCCTTGCCGGATGCTCGTGGACCCGTAAGCAAAAGAAACTCGCCAGCCTTAATATCAAGAAAGAATTTCTCGTGACCTTTGTGTTCTGTTGGATTCACAAAGCAAACAGAAGGTACATGATCTGGTGTGATAATTCCACTAACCACCTATATTTTTTCTTGATATACTCTTCTTGATCTACTTGAACTACTACTTCCTCCACTACTTCTCATTCTTATACTATTTCTCCTTCCTCTACTTCGATCTCTTGGTTAAGAATGGAACTGATGAATGATGGAGGTTTAGCATTGACATTGTGAAGAAAACAAATTTATTATTACAAATTCTTACGTTCTTCCACAGCCGTCCTTTTTCTTTTGAGCTTAGAAGTAAACCCAAACCCAAAACGGTCCGAATTTTCTTTTGCCGATCACAAATATCACGTGATCATTGTCCAATTAAAACGATCGTGTGAAATGTCACGTAATTAAATATCAAAGTTATCAAATTATTGAAAATAAAAAATTTAAAAAATTGAAAAATTTTGCTATATAATTTATTTTATTTTATTTAATACTTTTATGTGATTTGTATTTCTAACATCATATTTTGCAAATTTATCTGTAATTTTATGCTTATATAAATCTATATATTATTATTCTTTTCTTACAAATCTACAAATAGTTATTAAATCTACAGATCTAAAGTACAAAAAACTATTTTCTGCAATTCATTTTATGTATAATAGCAATTGTTTCATATATATCATTTTGCTACTCCTTAATAAAATTAAATTCACAATAAAACTTTGAGAAAAATATATAAATATGATCAGCATTTTTTAATTGTTTTAATAAATGTGAATTTCTAAACTAAAAATCTGGTTAAAGAGATATAATCTACCTTATATAATAATCTAAATATAAATTATTAATTTAATTATATATAATTTGCATTCTTCTATTATATATTTTTTCACAATCCTCATTATTATAAAATCAATTATTTAATGATTAAATAATAAAATAATAATTACATAAAATAATATATTACAGAGAGTTATTAAAAGTTTCTGAATGCTATTTTTGAAAGACAATTATTATATAAAAAAGGTAATATTTACATATATTTATGATTATCTTTTGTTTATTTTACTTTAAATAATATTTCTAACTTCAATTTGCCCTTTTCACTTTATTTTTTTTGTAACTTATAGCTACAACTGCAATAATAAAAAAAAATAATGAATTAACTGCAGAATAATATAGTGTAATATTTTATTGTTACAAAAATAGTAATTTATGTAGTAAAATTGCAGATACTATTAGATGTGACAAAACAACAGTATATAAAATATTGAAAAGGTATATTGAAACTGGTTTTACTGATTCTAAGCCTTACTCTGAATGATCATATCTAATCAATATCACATAATATAATTGTCTTAAATGTTTAGTGATAAATAAAAAATCATAAAATTGACAATTGTGTGCTTCTAAAATAAAGGAACTTTGAAAGAAAAAAATAAACTAAAATGTTTCAGAAATAACCATCTGTCATATTCTTCACTCACTTGAACTAAAAAGTTGTATTATAAGATGAAAGCCTCTTATTTTATTAGCAAATAAAGAAGTATGATTTGCATGATGCTTAGAACATAAAAGATAGACAAAGAATGATTGGATAAAGTTTTATAGAACAATGAATCAACTTTTCAGCAAAGTTGAACTAGCAGAATTTAGAGAGAACTGAAAGATAAATAATCACTCTTTTGTATTTCAGCCACAGTCAAGCACAGTCCAAGCTGCATATTTTGGGATTATTTTTTAAGGTAAAAAATATGACTAATTGTATCAATTTATAGATCAGCAACTAGAATTACACATGTTGAAATTCTGTATAAGTACATTTTACCTACAATAAAACATATATTTTCAAGAAATAATGGTTTATTTCAAAAAGATAATGCCAAATCTAATGCTCTGAACAGTTCGGTTCAGTCTGGATTATAAGCCAATCCAAAACCGATTTGAAAATTTTGGTTCAGTTTGGTTCAGATTGAAATTTTTGCAATCCAAAACTGAACTGAAATTGATCCGAACCGAAAATTTTCAGATTAATCTGAACCATTTGAAGCTTTAGCCAAATCTCACAAATTAAGAGTTATATCATCATTTTGTATAAAAAAAAACTTACATATTTTTTCTTGATCTGCCCAGAATCCAGATCATAACCTGATTGAAAATTTATAGGTAGAGGTGAAAAAAATATTAGAAATAAAAAGAAAAAACTAACTAACCTTGCTAATCTTAAAAGGAACATTAAAAATACATGAAAATTGATTCCAAAATATGTAATTAAAAATTTAGTTAATAGTATGTCAGCATGAATTCAGGTGATAATTGCAGTAGAAGGTGGTTTAATTAAATACTAGTTTAATAATATGAAATGTATTCTTTAGTACCCATAAAATAAAGTTATAATTAAAGATTTTTTATTGAGTTTTAAAAATTTAACATTTTATATTACATAAAAAATCGTTCAGAAACTTTTGATAACCCTCTATAGATAAATAAATTAAATTAAAATAATATGACATATTAAGAATAAATGCTTGTTAAACAAATATTGTTAAAATAAGCAAAGTATTAAATTATGTAATTATAAGATATAATTAATTAGATTAATAATGATGTAATTAATCAAATACTTATAATTAACTAAATTTAAAATACAAGATAAAAGATAAAATATCAAAAAAAAAATAGAAAAACAGAAAAGAATATAGATAGATAATAAAAAAAAAAAGGAATACAGACAGAATTAGAATTTGACAAGAAGTTAAAAATAATCAATTGATCTTGTGACTTAATGTTAAAAATATTAAAGATTTTAAAATAAGTTGAAAAAATACAATTAGTATAAGTGACAATTTTTAGAAAATTAATTTTGAACTTTATCTTATATTAATTATATTTATATTTTTAAAAAAAATACCTTTACATTAAATAATTATTATTCATATATTTTAAGGAATTAATGGTTTAGAAACTAGTTTAATAAACTAAAAGAAATAATATAGTTCATTCTAATTCTAAGTAAGCTTATTGACTTGTATTTTACTATTTGATATTTTTAAGTACTATATATTTTATATGTTAAATAAACTAAGCAGTAATATTATTCAATTTAAACCTATTTTATACTTATTGATTAATTATTAAAAAAATATATACTTTGTCTTTCATTATTTAGACTTCAAAAAGTTCATACATTTTTAATATATTTCTATTAAATTTAATATTTTTTTTTGCAACTAATATATTAGAAGCAAATGTATATAATTTAAATTATTATCAAAGGCAAATACTCTAATACAATTTGAAAATAAAGTCTTAAATATTAAATAACTTTATATTTAATTTGTTCAATAAGATATTTAGCTATTTATTTTATTATATTTTAAATATACTTATACTTTTTTTAAAATATCAGAATAATTCTTAACTTAATTAATAGTTAATTTAAGTATCTACAAGTTTCAATTAAAAATTCATTAATTTTCTATTTTTTTTTTTATATAATAGTAACTTATTTATCTTAGTTTATATTAGATATTTCTTATTATTTAAGTAAAATATGCATTTATCATAAACTATTAGAATATATTCTTTATTTCTAAAGTTAATAAAAAAGCATTTTTTTCATATTATATTATTATTGAATTCATTTTAATTATCTTAACATTTAAGTCAAAGAGTTGCAATAATTGGTTCTATATGTTAGAGTTTCTAATTTTAGGATTTTTTCTAAGTTTTACAGATATCTATTATACTTAAATTAACTTAGCAATTTATTACATTTTAAAATTTAAGATATATTTAATCAAATTTATAATAATGAATTTAAAAGTAAGTTATTATAGATATCACAACAAATTTTAAATACAGAAGAAAAAAGTAATTGTGTAGATTTAAATTGATTGCTTTATTAATAACTTAAATTTCAGAAACTTACAAGTAAGTTTTGTAACTTATAAAAGTGTTAAATTACAACTTAAGCAAAAAGTTATTCTATTTATATAAAATTAATTTGCTATAGCTAACTATTTGCTACATTGTAAATTAACTAAAAATAAATATATATATTTAAATAAAAATATATTTAAATGTAATAAAATAATAAATTATAAAAATAATAAAAAGAACAAAAATAAATTACAGATATTAAAAAAATTATAAATAAAATAAAATAAATAGATAAACAAGTTATACAGAAAATATAAGAAAAATAGAAATTATTATTAATCAATTTTAATGATATAATATAAATCTTCCTTAATATGATCTATATAAATTAACTCTAATAACTTTTGTAAATTATTTTT